CTAATGAGCGGCACAGACCTAGGCTGCCGGATACAACTGATTCTACGCGAAAGTGCAACAGGGAGTCAACTAGCAAAGAATGTAGTTCGAGCGCGATGTGGTATCCGGATGTCCTGAGCTGCACCCGCTGAAACACGTAGCAAACATTGCGTTTCTGTTCTTCTCGGCTGACTGCTACTCTTCAGAAGCATAATCAACCCACGAGACTCCACTCCCCTCTACTTGCTATCATTTTCTGCCATTTATGCATTGGTTCGAAAATGGGGTTTGAATATTCGATACAGATGTCAAATGGAAAATATTCAGTTTCCAGGTACCATCATACGGCTCCGATTTCGAGCGTTTACGCTTTAAGGAGTGCTTTAGCTGTGATAGCCAAAGAAGGTGTTGATGAGAGTGTGCATAGGCATGAGGAAAATGCTAAGTTTCTCTATGAAAAACTGAAGGAATATGGCTTAGAATGCTTTGTAGAGAAAGAGGTTCGTCATTCTCCATCTTTTTCTATTCACTTTCTGTTCCCTAATTTTGTGATAGTGTGTTCATACTTTGTAACTGAGCCGTACAATCGCGCAATTTGGGACTACGATTGATCATTTTACCGCTGCGACTGCTGATTTTATCCCAGAGAGGGGAAAACTATTTTAAAACTTTGTGGCGGTCCAACGATTAGCGATGGAGCGCGAGTAGTTGCACTTGCGTGACTAAACCGCTCGAGTCAGAGGGCTGAACGCTGCATAACAATGAAATGAGAACATCTCCATATTTTACGTTAATTTTAATTGTTATTTATGTCTTCTACAGAGAGTGCTTTCAGAAATGGCGATTGCCATGTTTAACCACGGTCAAAATACCAGACGGCGTGGACTGGAAAGGAGTAATAGAGGAGATGATGAGGCAAGGAACTGAGGTGAGCCTCTCGTTATAGGTTTGCTACGTTAGAGGGTACGGGTCAGGAGATCCGCGTTACGACGAGGGGCGGCGACGGTAATTCATCGTCAGTGTCACTGTATTTACACTGCCCGAGGCACAACGCCGCAACCGTCCGTCGAAACTGGTATCCACTGACCCGCGCCTAAACTTTGAGAACTATTTAATACCATATGATCCTCGAACAACACCTGAGCTCTGCAGATCGCCGGTGGCTTAGGACCTACAGTGGGCAAACTGTGGCGAATAGGAACTTTCGGTGGAAACTCGGACAAACAGAAGATAGCAGCCGTGTTGAAACTGCTTGCAGATACTATCAAGAAGAAGTCAAGTATATGAGAGGAATTTGTGATTCACTATGTTGAGCATTCGTAAGCCTTCATAATGACATAGCGTTGTACTCATTCGAATTTCTTACTTTGAAGTTATTCATTTGTATGCACTGATGATGTGATTTCTTGCGGGATCTGTCTAGCTAGCCTCTGCCTACAGTACCATCAAATAAATTATTTTCTAGAATGAGGAAGAGCACGCGGATTATCGAGTTTGACAGGAAATATGCTGCTAGGAAACATTCTTCTATTCGAAATGCCCCACTTAAGGCAGCGTTCAGACTTTGCGACGTTAGCGCTTCGGTCGCGCGTTAGACGCGATCAATGCAGTCCAAAGCATGCGTATCAGTCGAGTCGAACGCGCGACCGAAACGCTGCTGTCCCCGGAGATGTAACCAGGGCACAGCGTTCGATGGGGATTCCCTATGGGGGGGGTCGTATTTGGCCGCCAAAAGGGGGGGTCGTATTTGGGCTGGGAAAAATTTATTTTTATAGTTGATTTTTCTCGCTTTGCGGACGTTTTGGGGGGGTCGTATTTGCTCATTGTTGGGAGGGGGGGGTCGTAAAAGCTCGACCAAAATCCCCATCGAATGCTGTGCCCTGGTGTGAACGCTGCCTAACCAACTTCCAAACAGAACCGTAGATGTTCGAATGGATTTCAGCACATTAGTGGGTCTGTTGACTCTCCAAGCCAGACAGCCCATTGATATTTCGTGAGGCGATTCGAAAAGGGTTTTTTCTAGCCATCTAGCACTTTTTCAAAGCGCTCTTAGCATTTCGTAAGGGCAAAGGCTGCAAAAAGTGAACAGTTCTCTCGAACTCTCCTCAGAATGCCGAAAAAATTGTGAAAAATTATTTGGGAGCGGTCATATGAACAGCTCTTCTTGACAGGTAGTGAAAAGTGCAACTGATTGATCAATAAGCAGTCAGCGGTTTTTCCAGTCAGGCTGTGTTCAGACTTCGTGATGACACGCCGACGCGCTGCAATTGCAATCGCGCTCCTATGTTTCTCCTTCGAACGATGGGGCTGGTTGAGCACAATGTGGTCTGCAGTGGCATATGCAGCATGAGGCACGAGAAACCGGAAGATTGTGAATTGCACCTGGTATTACTATCATGTGCATATTTGAAGCTCGTGTGTCTCCCAGGACTTCCTGTGCCCACTGCTGGATGACCTCTGTTGCGTTGACCCAGGTCTCCTGGACCGGCCCATGTGGGTCTGAGGAGCCCAGCCTCCAGTATTCTTCCACCGAAGGCGATCCTTTTCCATTTTGTGCATTTTCCATCACCGAATTCTCCGCTCAGTTCTTGCACTCGTTTTCTTGGGCAGGTCTGTGGCAACATCTGCCAGCAGTAGGCCTGTGCTGGGGCTCCAGCCCTTACCCAGCCAGTACTTGAATGTCCTGAACTGTTCTGAAAATGATCATCTTTCCGGTACGTGGTCGACATCCGTTTGTCTCCGTCAACTACCTTGCGAAGGAAGTTGCTGCAGATCGGTAGCTTGTGGGCTGTCATTGGGAGAAGAATTCGCTTCTCTCTCAGCCTTCCTTGCTCCTATTTCTCAGCCCTCGCACCCTTTCTAGACCCCTTTTTCCACTACCCACATGACCATTCAAATCACCAGCTACGGTAAGATAGACGGAATCGATCTCACGGCCTAGTCCAGTATAAGGTAAAACACAATCTTTTCGAGCTCGGAACAGCCGGATTGCGGTGAATACACGGTCCGTACTGCCCAGTACCCCTCCTTCGTGTCTACTCTCACTCCCGTTCGTTCTGTACCTCACGTTCTACTTCCATTCGCAATCGTGGTTCTGACTTCAACGATACTACCTATTCACAATGACTTCTGCGAGAAGCAGTGCTTTCCGAGGATGCATTATGTGAAGTACCGCCTCAGGATTATTGGCGATATCATTGCCATGGACTCCATAGTACTTATGCACATTGTAGTGGTGATCGCCATTCTCTAGGTGAGGGCAAGATGGTTACTTCTGACGACAGTCGAGTTAGGATACTCTGTTAGCGTCTAAGGCACGTTCTATGGTAGCCTGCGCTTTTGCTGTGGCTTTCAAATGAGAAGACGGATGTCGGTTGGTAATTTAAATACTTCAGACCTTCATTAGAGAGATAAGAACAATAGGAAATGCGACATTTATTGAGAATATTCAGCAAAAATGTTGGGCAGAACAGAAATCCGTCGCGCTCTCACCAGCCTGAAAAATAGATCGGTCATATAAATGGTTCCTCACAGCACCCTCTACATCCCGGAGATGGGCATGATGTAGTTGCGCACTTCAAAAGGATGTGGCGTAGGATTCGCTCGCGTGGACATTTCCATTAGAAAGCACTGTCATTCGGCGTCGACAACGACGTTACAGCTCTATCGAAACGGCAATATTCCATAGAAAGAGCAGCCGAATTTGAATGAGGTATGCAGCTACGCTTTCCCTATAAGCGGCATGCGGCATGCATTCTTATGGCTAACCATAGCAGTTAAACTACAAAGGCATGCAAACAAAAGCAAATATTAGGTTGTCCGGAAAGTTCTCAGCGTACTATTTTTTGTACATTCATTGCTGATTAAAAACTCATTCTCCCTTGCGTCTCAGTAGTACATCCTGAAGAGAATTTTTTGCGCTATCTGATGGTATAATTGCCGTTTCACCATTGCTTGATGAACCCCCTTTTTTAAGATTTTTTCAAGCATGTGAAAAGAGCACTTCGGACGATTTTTTCTTCGACTATAAATTGGGTCAATCCGCAGTCGAGACAGCTCGACAAATTAACCAGGTGTGGGGCCCAATAGTGTTGGAGAAAGCACCGTGCGACAATGGTTCGACAAATTTCGTTCTGGAGATTTCAGCCTTGAAGATGAACCTCGTAGCGGTCGACCTAAAGCAATACCTGACGAGGATTTGAAGGCGTTTGTGGAGGCTGACCCATCCCAAACAGTTCGAGAGATTGCAGAAAAGCTAGGCGTTGGCAAATCCACTGTTGCGGATGGTCTGAAACGCATTGGGAAGGTGAAAAAACTCGACGGGTGCCCCACAATCGGAGTGACCGGCAGGAATCGGCACGTCTCGAGGTTTCTTCTTCACTGCTTTTGCGCAACAGAAACGACCCGTTTTTGGACCGAATTGTCACCTGTGATGAAAAGTGGATCATGTATGATAACAGGAGACGTTCCGGACAGTGGTTGGATTTCGACGAACCACCGAGGCAATTTCCAAAGCCGAATCCTCACGAAAAAAAGATTATGGTCACAGTGTGGTGGTCATCGGCTGGTGTGATCCACTATAACTTTTTGTCACCAGGCCAAACCATCACAGCAGAGTCCTACTGTGAAGAAATCGACGAAATGTACCGAAAATTGCGTCAGCTGCAGCCAGCACTTGTCAACAGAAAGGGTCCTTCTTTTGCATGACAACGCCCGCCCACACGTTTCACAAATCACTATCCATAAATTGAACGAATTGGGGGTTGAAGTTCTACCTCACCCGCCATATTCTCCAGACCTTTCACCAACCGACTATCACCTTTTCAAACATTTTCAGAACTTCCTTGCTGGAAAATACTTCATCAATCAGGACCAGGCAAAAAAGCGTGGATTTCGTGGATTCTCGACCACCCAGTTTTTTCTTTGATGGGATTTATCGACTGGTGTCACATTGGCAAAAGTGTGCTGATTCGAACGGTGCTTATTTCGATTAAATCCGATGAGTATTAAGAAAGTTATGATCGTTTAAAGTGAAACACTCAAAACGCTGAGAACTTTCCGGACAACCTAATATCTGAGCTGCAGCTCTCGTGTCATCTTTCAGATGACCCTATTCCATTGGAGAGTCATCAATTTCACCATGTTGCGTAGGGTACACCGTCAGTCTTTTGTGAAGGTTTTTAGTTCGGAGCGAATCCAAAGAAATGAACATAAGAGTCAGTAGCTGTGGAATCTAAAAAGCGATTTCATAGTTAGTTTCACGAAGGCCTACCAAGTCGTGCACGTGCAAGTCGCCCTTCTGTACGGAAAGGTATAAACTCGGCCTCTGAGGTAGAAGCACGAGCTTGGTTCGCGACACCGTGCTAACTCCTAGTCTTCTATTCAACTACGAAACCACTGCACTGAATTATAAGCAAAAACTCACCACCAGGCGTGCAATTGAGTCCTCCCTGAACATGCAGAATCTTTTCCAGCAGGGGGATCCCCCCTTCCCAAGGCGACAGTTCTTGTCGATCTCCTGAAAGATACCTTCTGGTGCATTTTGAAACGTAAACATTGCTATCTAAGGAGAGACAGAGAGAGGGGAAGGTGAGAGCAACGCGGCGAAAATCGGAAGAAATCTCTGCATAAAGGTAAACAAAGTTGGCAATCAGAAAGCTGCGATCTTTGGGTGGCTGAATCAGGGTCATGCATGTGTCGCGGAAATAGTGATGTGGGGATCGTATATGGTCTTTTGAGAAGGGAGAGGATGGAGCCATATACACGATTCAACTTTAATTTCACCCTGAAAAGAAAATCCACCTTTTTCGAATTGATATGACCACTTCTTTAACCAAAATCAGAATTTTTCGGGCCGAAATCACCTTACGTCTTGGGCGGACAGTCAATCAGCATATCACGCTACACACCACCGCGAACCCGCCGCGACGGCCACGCCCAGTTGTTAGCGCGGTCCTAAATATTCGAATTTTGTTTCGTACCTCTGCTTCTATGACTTTTTTGTCTTTCGCTGTTTCGCACTTACACTTTGACTAGAAGAGGCAGTACATCACCACGACGCACTTCGCCCACTTTTTAAAAAGTTTATAGCAGAACTTCGCATTATTACTATCTATAACTTTTGTTTTCGGATCCACTCTCCCTAGAACGGGAGTACTAATAGACGCGTACTTTTGCACCAACCTGTCAAGCTCCGCCACTTTGTATCTGTGTACGAAAATTCTATCTTTTTTTCGATTGTTTTCACTTTCGTGTTGCTAACAGGTGGATCTAATCGGGGTAACTTG